CAACATTAACACTTTAACCTCCAAACAACCAGAAATCCTTTGTTCCCTCTCCCATGTGTAGCTGAAAGAGAAAGCTAGAAGGGGATACAAAAAAAAGGGGGGGGGAATTAATAACCTATAGGCCATGTAACAGACTGTGTTCCATCCTGTCCTCTCTAGATGAGACAACTGAGGCCCAGAGAGGGGAAATAACAAGTCTAAGGCCACAGAGCTTGTGAGTGGTGGAGCCTGTGTGAAGACCAGGATCTTCCCACCCCAAGTGCAGTGTCTCCTCACCCTCATCTCTTTTGGAATCTGAAGTCTTTGCCAGGTGTGCAAGTGTTAACCACAGATATCAACGCCCTGGCCTAGGTATGCTCACATCAACTAGCAACGTCGCCCTGAGCCATCTTTCCCTGAGCATGTGCTATGCGCCAGAGTCAAAGCTGAAGGTTGTGCATGGGTTACTTTCATGTATCCTCACAACAGTGTGGAGAAGTAGGTTCTCTTATTTATTTTACTGGTGAGGAACCTGAGACCCAAGGAGGTTAAGTGACTTGTCCACAGTCTCATGGCCCCTTAACCCCTTCAGTCTACTGCCACCTCCTATGTTCAGCTCCAGGTCAGGAATGGTAGGCAACTTAGGAAGAGCAGAAACACAGTCCCGATGCTTGAGAACCTCATGATCTATGTCAAGATGGGGGTGGGGGAGGGAGCTAATATTTACTGAGTGCCCAGGGCATGACAGAGACCTTGCTGGCCCTTTATCAACCACAGTGATGTTACCTAAACCTCAGGGCACTTCCAAGCTCTAGGATGCTCTGGCTTGTACTCCAGTGCTTGAAAACAGGGTAAGAGGACAGACATACCACTAACATGCATATGGATCAATGAATCAATGGTGCTGGATCTGGGGGTGAATGGGGGTGGAGTGACCAGCAAAGGCCGGGCAGAAACACTTGGATATATGACAGGTCCAATATCAATCTCTTTTTTATTATCACTTCAGGCCTTCACAATAGCTAGCTTGGCATGGCAGGAAAGGAAGGACCTGCAGGAATACAGACACACATTCGAGTCCCAGTTCCATTGTACCTTGGTTACACAGCTATGGGGTAAGTTAGATAACCCCTTAAAGCTTCAGAAGAAGATTTGAGAATGCTCTCTTTGCAGGACTGCAGAGATTGTAAAGGTTAAATCTGAGAATCGAGGCACAGTCCCAGGGTAGTTCTTCTTCTTAGAAATGTTGGCCACGTGGGCAAGTACTTTAAATTCTGAGTTGTAGTTTCCTCTACTATAAAATGGGAGTATTGAGGCAGGGAGCTGACTGTAGTAGAGAAAAGCACAGACCTCAGAGGCAGATTACCCAAATTTGAATTTTGGTTCTGTTACTTGGTAGTTGTAGGACATTGGGTGAGCTCTTCACCTCTCTGAGCCAAAGTTTCACACTGATGGAACAATAATAGTCATAGCACCTAACCCCAGTGCTGGTAGGAGTAGCAAGCGAGTTCTACATAAAATGCTCAGACCAGCACCTGCCAGTTGACGGGTTTGCTACTGTTATTACCCTGAAGTGTTATGGAGGATCCAAAGCACTCAATTAAAGCATAGCAGTCTGCACAAAGTAGATGCTCAATAAACTCGCAGACATCTGTCATTTTTAAGTTTGGCATCACGCCCCCTATCTTCTGATAACAGAATTATTCTTTCTTTTGGGAAACCCATACTCTCATCCCCAAACAGGTGAGATGAACCCATGACCCAAACTTGGATCAGTCAAAGGACACCACCTCTTTGGCAACAGTGATGTGCTCCGACATAGATGAGTGACCAAGGCTAAGCAATCCACCATTGTTTCGGTGCTGCAGGTGCACTGCTACACATGATGGAGGAGTTAGATGAAGTCCCAATGACATCACCAAGCCCCCTGATCCAGTTGTTCCTGAAGCCATCCATAACTATTCCCGGACTTCCCAGGTATATAAACAAATATATTTTCTCTTTGGATTAAACTAACTTTAGTCACAGTTCTGTCACTTACTGTTTAGTAGCATTATTATAATAGCAGGTTTTCAATAAATATTATTTCCCTTTCTAATCACTCCTGAAAACATCTTATTACATGCCCATAGCCTTTCCAAAAGGTATTCTTTGGATAAACGCTGAGTATTAGGCAGTTTTTGTCTACAGATCTAGCAAGAAAGGAAAAGGCGTGTCCAGAATTGCTACTTATCCCACGTGGTGTACTACGGAGTAGACAGCCACACAGTACCCACATTTAGCATTCCCTAGAAAATGGCTCACTGTGTCTACTGAGATGCAACGCTCTTTTAAAACAGAGCTAGTGGCATATGTATACACACTCATGATTGCACATTTATTGATTTCTAATTTGTACCCTGCTTACTTCCAAAAAGGCCCTGAAGTGGCTGACAAAATAAGACAAAGACACAATGGGGCCATTAAGAAAAATCAAAGATCAAGCCCAGAGAGAAAAAAGGGATTGCTGATTATAGCTGAAACCTGGGTTAATATAGTTCCTTCAATAAAAAAAAAAAAAAAAAAAATTATATTTAGCTCTCAGCTTTTTGGCAGCCATTCAGAATGTGTCATGATGAGACACACAGAGAAGTGGGCATCCTTCATGTCTATAGCCGAAAACCCAGCAGAAGCCAGGCTGGCACAGGGATAGTGGAAGAGCTTGTTGAATGAATGAATGAGTGAATGAATGAATGAGTGAAAGGGGGATAAAAGAACCAGAGCCTAAGGGCATTGTTTGTACACCTAGGCCTGCATCCTTCTCTTCTCACTGAGAGCTGATGTATGCCAGCCTCGGTAACTGGCTAGAACCTGGAGAGGGACGGACACCACACGGAGTCGAATGTCACCCCTGACTTCCCAGCTGCAGCTCTTCCGGCTTCAGGTAAAAGCTCAGTGTCATCCACCTCAGTGCTCACAGCAACTCCCAGTCCCTTCACGGAGAAAGAGAACAGAGAGCAAGGCGGAGGGGATGGGGAGTGTAGGAGTAGTCACAGTTATCTTGGTGAGGACACTCACGCCGCACTGTAAACCCTAGAAAACACACCCACACTGTGATCTCGTCTGAGGCTTACAACTCCTCAGTGAGGAAGGTGAAAGGGAAGAGGGGTGTCTGCCTTTTACTGATGAGGATATTCAGGCACAGAAGGGAAAGTGACTCCCTTAACCTCTCTCAGAAAATGACAGGATGCCACCCTGGGGTTTCCCATGCCCCAGGCTGTCTGCCTGGGCCTGGCCCCCAGCGTCTCGATGCTTGAAATTCCTCCTCTGATCGGATCAAGAGCAGCCTAGAATAAAATAGGCATCACTTTGATGGCCGTGGGGAGCAGCTGGGAGGCCACATTCCGTGAGCAAAAACCAGCCCACCCAACGTCCTACAACAAGCAGAATGGTCAGACCCCACCTGCTCCAAGCCTTCCAGCAGTCCCAGCCCCATGGCCACCCTCTGTGTGCCTAGAAAGTGATGCTGACATTCCTGATGAAGAACAGATAGCCAGCCTTAATTAGGAGCCGGCTGAAAAGGCACAACGTAGTGCTGGGTGCAGAGATGGCAGGTAAGTGAGCACGGAGGGAAAGAACTCTACAGGAATAGGAAATTAAAAACCGGGTTGTTGCCCCTCATGCCCATTTCGTACTGCTTATCCAGCTCAGCTAGACACCCAGGCTGCCGAATGTCCCTTTATCCACCCTCACGCTCATCAGGGTGGGCTCAGAGAGGAATGGTGGAAAAGGGGAGCATATTCTTGTCCATGTTTAGCAAAGTGATCCAGGTGGTCTGAGCCAGAGAAATGCAGTAAACAGCAAGAGGAGACTTTGACAAAAGGTACAGGTGTGCCCTAGAGAAGGCGAGCCACAGCTGCTTACCACTTAAACACAAACCAACCCTTACTGTTCTTGTTCCAACAAAGTACCCTTTCAAATACACTTACGTATATGGTCTCTTTCTTTGTGTGTACCCACAGATACAGATATGGATACAGATTCCTAATTCAGAGCTCATTCTTAAGTGCACACAGTGACATGTGTTTCATATTGCCCAATGTATCCTGGAGCCTACATACATTCCTTGACTGCATAAACAGGTATTAAACACAGCCTCTGGGAATGTGAATGGCGGCCACAAGTTTGGAGCCTCCCTGGTAATGTTAGAGTCTTCCCAGCCAGGCTGTAAATCTCACTGCTTGACGACTAAGCAGCCAGACTCTGTCTCTCCATTCAGAAAACCAAGGCTTGGGCCAACCCAATTTACCCCATGAGCTACAAGAGTCACTGCCAGTATGACGTATAGGTTCAGGATCACGGAGCCGTTCACCATCAGTGCACGAGCACTTGCCTAACACCCAAGACATGCAAACCACAGTCTCCATTCTGACGTGCATCTCCAGCTCCTAACCCTCCACACTCTCAGACTGTAGAAACGCACAGAAGCATCTCCAATCTCCCCCCTGCATTATATCCTGGATCATCCCAGAAGAGAAAGCCAAATTCAAGGTGTTTCTTCCTTTTCCCACAAAACCACAGATCTCCAGGCCCAGAGTTCCCAGGCCGGTGGTGGTAGGAGGCAGGAAAAGGGCAAGAGGTGTTCTAGTCTGCAGGGTGGTGAGGTTAGAATGATCGGTCCAATCCAATGGCTTCCAACAACACTGCTGTCTCCTGTAAATAAACCCATCTCAAATCCCACCCTCAGGGCATTTCCCTGAGGCAAGGTCAGATCCATGTTAAACGACATCTTGTCTTTCCTTGCAAAGAAGAGACCTACTGCAAGTCACTAGCTCTCATTGGCCACTTACAACACTGATCAAAAGCAAAAAGTTGGGTGTGGGGGCACGCCACGCTGAAGCCCAGCTCCAAGTCCCCGTGCAGACGGTTTAACTGCCAAGCTGTGCCTGGCACCAGGCTCCACTCACAAAGGCAATCACAATATACATATCACCAAAGCCAGGCAGGACGCCAGGCAGAAAACACAATTCAATTCTACTCACAGTCTGGTGAGCTTCGGTGTACTCTGAAAAAGCAATTCCGGGAGGACCTGGAGCTTATTCTTGTTCAGGCGCCTACGGATGAAGAGAAGAATGAGAGGATGTCAGGATTGGATTAAATTGGATCAAGTGTATTGACAGATATCACTTCAATCAATTAATCAATCAATCAACAGGTATGAAGAGATCTTCCAGATTTTTCAGTGTGGGATGCACATCATGTTAAGGCATATTCTGTCTCGGAAAGCAGGCAGTCAAGTTGAGGACAGAAGGCAAAGTTCAGTCACAGGCAAGAACACAGCATGAGTGCTGCCATTCCCCCAGCACGAGCCTAGGACAGACAGACAGACATCACTAACTGATCCCACATTCTTTCCCACAGATCCCAAGCAAAGCTTTTGAAACTCTCTGGCCATGTGCTCCGGGTAGCTCTTGCCAGTGATGAAACTGATCTGCAAAGTGGGTCCCTAAAAAGAAGTAAACTACCAGAGAGAATATTCTATCCTAGATGGTGGTGGTGGTGTGGTGGGGAGACAGCAGTTACTATGGGAGTTGAAGAAGCCACAGGTTGAGGAGACAAATGGAATCCCTGCCAGCCTGGCTCTTTGGCCCAGAGCAGGGCTGCATTCTAACTTCCACGGGCCCTTGGCACTTTTGCCTCTGCGGGTCCCTGTCTCTATAAAACATTAATATATTTTATAAGTTCGTAGGTATAAAACAAACTAATACTATATATAATAACATTTACCTTGACCTGAAAGGGTCTTTTTTTTTTTTCCTTATAATTTTAAAAGAAATGAAAGCATTTCCATGGGCCTCTGGAAGTATTGCTGGCCCTGGACCCTGCCCCACTGTGCCTAACGGGGCAGTCGGCTCCGGGTCACAGTGTGGGCATGCCGCGTGGCTGGAGGTAAACTCAGCCAGAATGGATGCCCCACATTGGATGGCAGCAAGACAGCCAGTCAGGCGCCCTCCAGAGAATGGTCAATACTAATGCCAATAGTAAAGAAGGCCACGAGTGTTTCCAAAGGACATGGAACCCTTGTGGTGGCCTCCAGGAGGGCTGCTCTCCTGGAAGTGGGAAGCGAAGAGGGAGACCTAGTTCCCTGCTGGTTCCCACGCCTCCCTCTCCTAGGATCCAGTGAGTGTCCAAATCAGTGTCTCCAAACCTGTCCTCAGAATGTCCTAGAGCAAAAGGACAGTTCACAGCCTGGTTGAATTTCTTCCTTAGAGTGAAGTGCCTCTTTAGTTACCTGGGACAACCATTATTATCTTCTTAGAGTTAAGCAAACTGAAGAAAAGGTGAGCTTCATTTCTGCTTCTGCCCCCAAAGCCCACGCTCTCCGAGAGGCCAAGCAGATACGATTCCCTGGGTGGGATTTTGGCACTTTCCCCCTTTCATCGCAGGTTGATGGCCAAATACTTGAGAGGGACAGGGAACTAGGAGGGGGTTAAAAAGGGCAAAGCGAGTAAGAGAGGAGCATTTAAGACCCCAGAGTAAGGCTCTTGTCAGCAGTGTGCTGCTTAGCCCTAAAGGGGCTCACATTGTATGTGGGCAGGTACGGACCAGTGATGCTGTCAGTGAGCCCCATGATGGCAAGGAGGCCAGACAAGAGGCTGGGAAGTTGGATGGGATAAGCTCAAATTCCCTGCCTCATCCCCACCGCAGCCTGACTCCTACACCAGTGCTCTTTTTAAATTTCTTGTTTATTATGGTTAAAAAAAAAAAATTCTTTTTCCACCTTAACCATTTTTAAGTGTATAGTTCAGCAATGTTAAGTACATTCACATTGTTGTACAGATCTCTGGATCTTTTTCATCTTGCAAAACTGAAACACTATCCCCATCAAACAACCCCCGCCCTGCCTCATCCAGTCCCTGATAGCCACCACTATGCTTTCTGTTTCCATGAGTTTGACCAGTGTTCTTTTGATCATTTCCAGTATCTACTCTTTGTGCTCTTGTCATTCAAATGGAGAGACAAGGGGAGCCCAGGGGAGGGTGAGGGGTAATCTAGCTGCTTGTTTAGATCAGTTCCCAAATGGTCAGCCCCTTTACATCATGTGGGAGCACAGATCCCAGGGGAGACGGGGTGGTATGACTTTGGGGCCGGCCAGGGCTGGGGCCAGGTCTAACTATCTCTTGATCTCTCTGTGGGACCTAGCCTAGCCTGCTGAGCCTGCGGAGCCTCAGGGTTCCATGTGCAAAATAACCCTATTCGTTGTGTTACAGTAATTCATAATGACACAGTATATGCCTAAGTGTGTAGCACTGCAGTAAGAACATGGTGATAATAATATGATAATATTATTGATAATATTGTGATAATAAATGGTGCATGTTGAGTCCTAACTGCGTGTCTGATGCTGGGCTGCAGGCTGGGCGGGCAGGATGGCAGGCAGTAGAGCCCGGACGCAGGCACCATTATGATCCACACCTCACAGCTGAGGACACGGGTGCCCAGAGTGGCTGGGCACATTTCCACAAGGCCACAGTGTGAGGAAGGGGTAGAGACAGCATCAGGACCCAGGCAGTCTGCCTCCAGAGCCCCGGTTCTGAACGACGAACCACTCGAAGCCTTGCTTCCTCTTCCCTTGTCTTCTTTTCTCCCCCTTTTGCTCCCTTTCATCCCCGGTTGCCGCCCCCTGTGCCCCACCCCAGACAACCATCCTCCCCGGATATGCTTCCCTCCCTGAAAAGGACTCCCTTGGAGGTCCCTGAGGCCAGAACGGGTCTCTCTGTGGGTCTGTCGGGAACCACCCTCTATTGTCACAGCCCCACAAAGCCGAGTGAGAGCTTCATTTAGGCGACCGATGCTCCAGTCTAGGCAAAAATCCGAGAATCTGGCCCGCCGTGGCCTGTAGCCGGTAGGGTGTTTAGTTCTAAAAGCCCCAAACCAGAGTTTAAGCTAAAAATAAAACCAGCTTGGCTCCAGGGCTCCAGGAAGGGAAGGAATCATTTTTCAGTATTTGTGGCTGGACAAAAATAAAAACACAACCAAACTGAGCCAATTGGGCTCTGCCTGCTGCTCTGTAAACCCTGATGAGCCTTCCAGGGCAGCTGGGCCGAGCTCTTCTCCCACAGCCTCCGGGTTTTTCCGTGGTGGCCTGAGCGGGCCTCATGCTGGCTCCCCCTACCACAAGGGGGTCGATGCTCTGTTTCAGTTCCAGTTCATTCCAGGGTTTACTCACTAACCAAGCCGGCGGAAAGGTCCTCCTTGAAGAGCCGATGAAGGCTCCAAGCTGCATAAGGTGCATTTCCCCATGTAACTGCTGCACAGCAGCCCCTGAGAGGAAAATAGTAGGTAAGGTGTCACTGTTCCGGCAGGGCGACAGAGAAGCCCTGGGCTGCAGACGGGAGTACTGGCCATGAGGCCCTCGATCATTCGTGCCATCCGAGGCTCTGTCATCCCGGAACCTAAGGTTGAAATCTCCTGCCACGGTTCCAGCTGAAAATAGATCCAAGATGCCTGGATGGAGAAAAGGACCGAATGGGACCAATACGAGGGCAGACCGAGGAGCTTGACAAACAGGCCACAGGCCAGGTCAGTGAGGAGATAAAGTCCACCCGGCTGTCCCCCTCCCTCTGAGATCAGTACTCATTTTTAGCTTTCCTGCTGGAACAATGGGCAGCATCAAGGTAAAAAACCCACTGGCTAGGAGTTGCAAGGTCATACTGCTTCTCAGCCTGAACTATGAAGTTTTATCGTACTGCTATCACCTTCCTGGAGGCACCTGGGTATAAGATCGGATTAGAGGTTTTGACACTTTTTTTTTTGTTGAATTAGTCCATTTATCTATCCTTTCAATCATCCATCCATCCATCCATCTATCCATCCATCCATCTAGCTTTCTATCCAACCACCATCCATCCGTCTCTCCAGCCCTTTTTCAATATGAACATACAAAGATGAACAAGAATATTCCCTTCCAAATTAGCAGACAGTAGTGGAGAAGATAGGCATGAAAACAAAGATATCATAGGAGAACAGAGGGGGGCCAGTGAACCCAGACCTGGTAAAGGAAGGCTTCCCAAAGGAAGTGGTTGGAATTTAGTTCTGAAGCATGAGTGCAACTTTTCAGGGGACAGGGACAGAGGTTTTGAGACTTGTGCCTGGCCACGGAGGGCCATGAGACCCAGGAGCACTTAGGGAGCGGGTTGCATTGCTGGATCGTGGGGATGACATGAGAAACAGAAGCGATGAAGCTATAAATCTAGGCAGGGGTCCTACAGCAAGGACCCTTATAGGTCATGATAAAGGAGCTGGGCTCGGGTGTTTCCTGAGAGTAATGGGAAGCCACAGGAGGGGTGTGAGCAAGGGAATGATCATCTGGTTTGGATTTTAGAAAGTCCTCTGGAGTATCAATAAACCCGGTTTAGCAGAGAGCAAAAAAAGGAACCAAGACGACTAGTTAAGAGGGCTCTTGTGTAATTCACCTGGCTGTATGAGGACCTGGTTTAAGGATGAGAATGGGAAGGGCGCCTGGGTGGCTCAGTGGGTTAAAGCCTTTGCCTTTGGCTCGGGTCATGATCCCAGGGTCCTGGGATCGAGCCCCACATCGGGCTTTCTGCTCAGTGGGGAGTCTGCTTCCTCTCTCTCTCTGCCTACTTGGGATCTCTGTCAAATAAATAAAAAAAGGATGAGAATGGGACTGGGGTGTAGGAGATACATGGGAGGCATCATCACCAGAGTGGGAAGGAGTTACAGGGGTGGAGGTATTAAAACCTTTCCCTGGGGCTCCTGTTAACTGAGTAACTGAGCAGTTGAGATTACCAGTCATTGCTAAAGGAACAGAGAAGGGAGACCAGCACACAGAATGTGGCGAGTACAGATTCCTGATTTCTGTACTACTGGGGTCTCTCAAATACGTTCTGATAACTAAGATCAGTAGCTGGTAATAACAGTGAGGCCATAACTTAGGCGCTGTACTAGGCACGTTACCTGCACTGTCCCACCTAATTCCCACAGAAACGCGTTGAGGCTCAGTAGCCCCATAATAAGGAAACAGCAGACTAAAGAGGTTAAAGCATCTGCCCAGAGTCAAACTTGATCAAAATGATGGTGATGGTATTTG